CTGAAAAACTTTTAAATTCAGGGGCCCCTGGCTGGCTCAGTTGGTAGAACATGTGACCTTTGATCTCGGGTTTGTAGGTTTGAGCCCCACTTTGGGTGTAGAGATTACAGAATAAAATCTTAACAAAAGACAAAAAGGAAAACTCTTAAATTCAATCTCATGCTGCCTGGGACGGCCATTCCCTCTTTGATGGCACCACACACTCCTTTCTCCAAGGTTTTGTAAATGTTAACTCCTGCAGCCTCAGGACCCATCTTACTCCTCCCATCTTCCGGCAAGTATAATCAATGTTTCTTTCCCAGTGTATTAACTGTATAATACTTACCCAGCCTGGCTTCCAGGATAGATGTTTGTCTATCTATACCCTACTCAGTTTTGCATCTCAAAAGTGTCTTTCACGTAATAGGCACTCTGTACATACTGAAGTGAACTTGACAAGCACACGAGGTAAGAACACCGTTTTCAGCCTTTAATCAGATTGCTAACATGACAAGAGCTTCTGAGGGTAGCAGAATCCATGCGTGTACAAATAGGGACACATCCATTCGGTGAAACTTTATTAATCTCTCAAGGATGCACCAATGACCTAGGAGTCTTTTCATCTTCCTCCACTCAGCTGTGCATTAGCCCATTTCCTGTACTGTCCAGGTAGGACCTCTAAAGCAAGTTTTCCATCTTCTATACTTCCCATCCTACCAATCACTTTCATTTGATAGAAGAGAGATGGAATATCACTTTATATTGTTCATCAGCCAAGTGGAAGAAAGCATGGGAATCTGTGAGTTCTGGTGCAGGCAGGGACAGCCCACAGAGTCCCTGTGGATGGACTGGTCACCCACACCCCCAATGTACTGTAACCATGGCTACTTCCATTAACAAAGTCTCACATGAAGGACTAAAACCAGTGCAGAGGCACAATGTATAATATATGCATAATGTGCCTTCTTGGCAGGAAGGACAATCAAGTGGTAGCATAGCAAAGGCACTCAGTGGTGGAAAGGACAATACTCCAGGGAGGTAGAATACCTAAAAGTACAATCACTAATGTAATAAAAAAATATATATCAATATCTTAGATAGAATCGGATAGCTATGCACCTTATACGAATGATTTTATTTAACCGCCCCAAGAATTTAAGAAGTGGTGACAATAAGGGGCGCCTGGGTGGCTCAGCCAGTTGAACGTCTGACTTCGGCTCAAGTCATGATCTCGCCAGTTGACGAGTTCGAGCCCGGCGTTGGGCTCTGTGCTGACGGCTCAGAGTCTGGAGCCTGCTTCCGATTCTGTGTCTCCCTCTCTCTCAGCCACTAACCCACTCGCATTCTGTCTCTGTCTCTTTCAAAAATAAATAAACATTAAACAAATGTCTTTAAAAAGTGGTGATAATGATGATGGTGATCCTTTCTCTAGAAATGAAACTGATTTGACCAAGGCTACATAGCTACTATGAAAGGGGCTGGAATTCAAATCCAAAAAGTATGACTTCATGGCTATAATCTTAACTCTAGTTTCTAATGCCTTGTGTATTATGGGGGAGTGAATTAAGAAGTGGTGATTGTTTGGGAGGAACTGAGTGGCTCAGTCAGTTAAGCATCTGACTCCTGGTTTCAGCTCAGGTCATGATCCCATGTTTGGTGGGATCTAGTCCTATGTCCAGCTCTGTGCTGACAGCACGGAGCCTGTTTGGGATTCTCTCTTTTCTTTCCCTCTCCCCTTCTCTCTCTGCCCCTTCCTCACTTGCTCTCTCAAAATAAACTTAAAAAAAAAAAAGAAGTGGTGAATTTTTTATAATTATAAAGGAAATTGACTTGGAAAGGGCTAGCCACCTGATACTCCAACTGCAGAAGCAAATACTGACGCTGGTTAGAAATTCTCTTGGATGCCCTTTCTCAAGGTGGGGGATCTCTGCCATGAACTTTGGGGTGAGTATAGTTATGTGCTTAGCCAAGAGTCTTGCTTTTCTCTGGTTCACATCTACAATTTGTGGCCTGTGGTATATGTGATTAAAGACAACACAAACAGTGTCTGGGTTCCAAGCATGCCTAATGTCACAGACAGCAAAAATCTGGGAGCAGGTCAGGCAGGAGTTGATCCATCCCACAAGAGGCAGAGGCAGGCATGACAGTTTGGCTGAATGTTCAATAAATGTTACAACAACCCTGCATCTCAAGCAAATTATTCTATGCCTCCCCGGCGGGGGGTGGGGGGGGTGGGTAACACTGACTGAGAATCACCCACTGTGTTCTCTAGAGAATACGAGACAGAAAACTGGAGACCTTCCATGAGCAGAAGTCAACAAAGCCAGAAGACACAGCAGGCCATACTACAGCACCGTTTCCAACCGGGGTACATATAAAACTGTAGCTATGTTTCTATAATTAGTTTGCTTTGAAATTCTGTTTTATTTTATGCATGAAAAGACATTCTGGGAAGGGGGTCCATACGTTTCATCAGGCTGCTAGACAGATCCAAGGCATAGGAAATCTTAATAATGCTGGGCAACAGAGAGGACAGCTTTGTAAATAGAGGAGCCAGCTTGAACCACCAAGTTGTAACCATTACCAAGGACAAACTTTCCTTTTCAGAGAAGCCATAGTCCAGGGAATAGTCTAATGTCATTATCATAATACAACTACCATGTAGAGTTGGCATTGCTGGTGATCAAAAGCCAGTGACCCCACAGGGACACTGATTAACTGATGTTGACCACCGTAATAAAGTTAACACAAAAATCTCCATCTAATATACTCAATCAGTCAGGGATTACACCATTATACATGTGAAGCAAGTAGCTTTTCTGGGAAAGACTCCTAATAATTTTTATCTTGTTTCACTGGGTTTCCTGAATGCTTCACAATGATTACTTAATTCTTCCGTAAAAGAAAATAAAAACAACACAGTCTGCAGAGTTTCTTTCTAGGAGAGTGAAGCATACTCATTCCAACACATGAAAAGAAAAAAGAAGAAAATAGAGCTGATTTGTCCCAATCCTTATCCGAAATGGTGTAAGATAATAAAACTTGGCTGAATCAAATGAAAAATAATCCAAAGATAATTCACATTTCTCGTGGAAATCCATTTTAATACTGTACTAACTCTGAATGTGTCTGATATTTTTGGATTTAATTTCGTATTAGATTTACACACATGTACACACAAACATACACATTTAAAACCCTATTTATCAGAAGGAATCACGAAAGATAATGTCTACCTTTCCTCAGTATTTTTTCTGGACTCATGCTTTAAGATCAAAGTAAGCAATTACATACAACATCTGGGCTCCACAATAAATTCAGATTATGAATGAAGTCAGAGACACAAATAACAAAGACAAGCATAGATTGGTCAATTTCTGAGAGTCTAGTCTTTAAAATAGGACATTCTCTGATACTGTAAATTTTAACTGGGTGCAAAATGAGAAAATGCATTTCAATTCAAAACACAAACTATTTTTATAAATTGGAAATAAGTCAGAAATACACAGGACTCTTCTGAAAGGTTGAAAGGACCAGGGTGTTGACCTCTCACTCTTCCACATAGAGATCGTGTGTGTCTTCTAAGCCCCGTGGACACCACCAGATGGCTATTTTATAACATCAGATTCATGTTCTAAGTTTCAGTGCTTTAAGAATTAGGTTTGCCTGGGCTGAAAGTAAACTGAGTGTTTTCTATATTCCAGCATTTTTTTCAGTAATAATTGGCTTATTACCATTTCATAAATATCTTCAGATGCTTTGTTGCCAAAAATATATAGCCTATATTTAAAACCAAAGTATGCATTTTTGAAATGTTTTAAAACAATCATCCTAACTTTCTTACAGTGTTGTTATAGGATCAGAGGAGATGGCACATTTTGAATGATTTTAACTTGGTGTTTTTCTTTTCTTTTCTTTTTGTGAACAATGAATAGCCATCCACAAAAAGTGGGAAGAAAAGAATCACAGAATCCCAACAAAAACTTCCCAGATGGCCTCAGAGAGGCGATAAGGGAGGTAAGTGTTTCAAGTTTCCAAAGTCTTTGGTTTCCATAATGATGTTGCCAACTGAAAAGAGAGTAGACAGAGAATAGGACGAATTTGCCTATTAGGATCTTTATAGATTTTAAATCTTTGATCTCACCAGATTTGATGACAGGCCACAAAAGCATGTGCTAATTATATAAATCCCTTCCATATCCTGATCATTTTCTTTAAAAAGATAGCTCCAGTTAGTATTTAAGTGAATGAAATAAAACACAATCAATAATGTGCCACTAATAGGTACAATACCAGTGTTAAGTATTATAGGATAGTTAATGATTTAAAAACCTAATAAAAGTCATCCTGAAAAACCAACATACTTCAAAATAATTTTAAGCCGATACTTGAAAATATGATTTGATTTTAAGGTTACAATAAACTCAGAAAATATATAATTCAAAATACTTTTTAGTTTTATTAACAAGTTGTGGGTAGTTTCCTTCAATTGATAGCTCAAGATTTTATCATTCTTCTGAAGTTACAAAAAAAAGTAGTGTAATTGAAATTCAGTCTGCAAATAATTCATTCTGAACCCTCTCAGTTTTTTCATACTTTGTGTTTAAGAATTCAAATGCTACTCTAATAAATGAGGACAGAAAGATGTTTAAAATATGCATATTTGACGAAAATACTATAGTTATGTAAAATCACACAAGAACACACCAAATCATTTTTTCTGAGGTTTAATTTTAACTAATGAATTTTAGATGATAAATATAATGTCAATTCAAATCTTTGCTTATCTGCAATGCACAGCTATTTTTTGTAACTTGTAGGTGAAATAGATTCTTTTCACCATGGCAATGTTTTCTCCCTTATTTATGGTCTTTCCTTGCCTTTTCTTTTTCTTTCTTTCTTTCTTTCTTTCTTTCTTTCTTTCTTTCTTTCTTTCTCTTTCTTTCTTTCTCTTTTATTTTTATTTTTTTGTGCCGTGAGTCCTTTTTCTTCAACAGTTTAACAAGTCACTTCTGGTTTGGCTAAAGAGCAATCCTAGCACAATAATGTTTCAACTTGCAAGGAAGAACGCCCTTATTGAGTTGATAGAACTCCACCAGCTGGATTAGGTCTGTAAATCTCGTGTGGCCATCATCCAGAGTGTGGAACAATTCACCATCGTCTTCCACCTACAGGAAGGAAAACAGCAGACTGGTAAGATGGGCAAAATACCCTCAAGGGCAATCATATTCTATTGCACACTGTGTCTTTTTATACTAAAATGGAAAAGTGGATGAAACTAAAGGTTAATGAAAAGAATGTTATGATGCGCTGACTTTCTGTTTGTAACTTCACTTGTATTTAAAAGAAATGTCATCTGATCCTAGGATCCAGAGCGTGGCTGCTCTACTTTCTACACCTCAAGTTCTCCTAACGTTCTATAGTTAGAATAGTACGACTATTGTGAATCAACAGTGAGAAGTCTGCATTATTCGGTGCAAAAGTAAACACAAGATTTTAATGCTCTCATCGACAGAAATTAATTTCCATACCTGAGTGTTGTCTACCTAACAGCTTCATCTGTTATCTAGAAGCAAATATTCATATAATTTCTACCAGTAAATTGATTCTGAAGCAATCAAACATTATGTGAATGGAATGACAGCTGCTTCTTCTCTTCCTCCTCCTCCTCCTCTTCCTCCTCCTCCTCCTCCTCCTCTGGCAGTGACATTAAACATTAAATTAAAGAGGTCTTGTGACATTAGACAATTCATACTCACCCAAGGACAGTGAAGTTGGGAAGACACTTCATATGGAATTTGGATAATTCCAAAAAGAGGCCATTCAAAAGGAAATACTAGCAACTTAGCAATCTTAGGTAAAACGTTCCTGAAAGTAGACTGAATCTCTACTACACACTACCTGTTTCCAACATATAGATCACATGCATATACACATGCACGCGAGCACACACACACACACACACACACACACACGTCATCAATAGAAGCAACAAAAATCCCAAAGTGAAGTGTGCTACTCAGAAGCAGAATTACAGAAAAATTTTAAATGTGCTCAGAATAGTTTAAATGTTCTCCAGTTCTGCAGCACCTGTGTACCTATCCATAATGATTAAAAGCAAAACTACAAAAACAAAACAACAACAATAACAAAAAGAGCCATGTTTGAGATAAGAAAGCAGAAAGGGTTTAAAAATAATGGTTTTTAAAGAACCACTGGTACGATTCAGAAAGAATCTCTAGTGGCCTTTTAACAATAGGTGGCATGGGGTCCATGCAATATTGGTAAATCATATTTCATGGAAAAAGGGAAATTTAATTTTTACAATTCCTGTATTTCTTATATTAATTCAGGCTCATAAAACCATTTCTGCCAAACTTAAGTCTAGTCAAAGCACAAGCTCCCTGGTTATATTTAATAAAAGATCCAAAGAAAACCAAAGTTTCCAAAAGCTTATGCATTAAGGTCATCTCTAATATACAAATGTGAAATCACAAATTACTTACTGGTATAATTTGAAAATGCTTTATTTTTTGTCCATGACTCATTGACAGTACGAAAGTTTTGGGGTTACTCTGACTATCCCGTACCAAGAAAACTCTAAGGAGAGAGAAGGAATTTCAATATGTTTCTACTTTACTCATGTATTTCATAAAAACAGAGCATGCAACAAATCTAGAAAATATATTTATAAATGTAGCCAGAGTTTTCCTTTACTGTGTATTCAATGATGGGATTATCCAACATGGTAAACAATCTGGTATAACATAATCTTGTACTATAAAACTGTCATCAGTGCTAATGTAATTCTAATAGGATAAATACACAGTGCATTTATCAGATTGTTTGCTCACAATAAGCAATATAATGCTACGCTGGCATCAAAAGTTTGTTTACGTTCTTTTTCCATTGGAGGAACTGGGTATTCACACATAACACCTTTGTGCAGAGAATGGGGCATTAGCATATTATTACTTTAACTTCTGGGTTATGTTAGTCCCTGAAAAGAGAAAATTATTTAGAAGGAAATCATTTTGAACCCCTCTCCAACACGGATCCCCCTTTTTCTTTTGATTCTGGTTCCTACTGTTACGTACACAACAGAAAGTGAGAAATGCATATATTCTAGAAAATCAATCCTGAAATCATTTATTAAATGTTGAGCAAAATGTTTTGAGTAAAAGAAACACCCAAACAACGTATACTTCAATCATCAAGAATGCAGCAGAAAAGCCTCTATAATGTCGAGCTAGAAAAAACAAGGCATGGCCTAATGGCCTAAGAGCAAATGCTGCCAGGCGTGGATTCTTATTTACTGGTGATACTGTGCAAAACCAGCTTTGTGTTAATTGTTGGAAAACAGATTGTGCAAACAATCCCCACTGGTGACTCCAATACTAATCTCCCTGTGCCTGGGCAAAGAGGCAGCCAAATTTAGGCCATCACAGATGTCTGATGAGATTATCCATTCCATTTGTACTGTGTGAGATTCCGACATTACATCACTGGGAGATGGGACAAAAGGGAGTTTCACTGGTAAATCAAGCTGTAATTCTTTCTCCATTCCCGAGCGGATCACCGCTACCATCTAGTGGACTGCCTGGCATCATCACATCTTTCCAAAGGATGTACCCCACCCCCCATGTTTCATTAAAAATTTAAAAAATAAAATAAAGATAGTATCATTCTTTATGCATTTATTTCATAAAATTTATAAAGAACTAGGCTCCGAAAGTAGGGAAATTATAATCCTTCAAAACAGTTTAATGATTCTTTGTGAATTATTTCTTTTCTTGGTCTCATCGGATTGTAATTCTGCTGATTGCTCAAATTTATATCTAAAACGACTGTGCTCCACATAGAGAAGTATATTAAAATCTTCTCTTATTTAGAGTCTAGTGAAATGCTGACTTGCTATTAATAATCTTCCATGTGAAGATGCATTTTTATCCAAATGTCAGTATTAAATCACCTTGAAATCTTGTCATCATCTTAAGCCAACCCTTGAAGATAAAAGGCCCCATCAAGCACTTGTTTAAATTGATGCTGGTTTCATTTCTAGTCCAAACCTCAATACAACCCCCTTGATTTGTACTGCATTTGAAAAGAGAATTTTGCCAGCATTCCAGGAAGTATTTGAAATAGCGATCGGAGAAAAAGAAAATGCTTCAGAGTGTAAATATTTCATAATACAATTTACATTTCTCCTGTATCTTCCATGGTACCCCACCCAAAAATGACATGAGAAACACTTAAGAGAAACCCTCTTCTCATAGGTTTACAACTACTTTAAGCTGTTAGAACTTGGAGAAAATAGCAATGTACACGGAGAGAAAAAAAATAAAACAAGCAGTCAAAATATACAAAAAAGAGTTCATGTACTCTGCGTCAAACTTAAAAACATATATAACATGTAAGATAATGTCATGACACAAATCATACTTTGGAATCCTATTACATGTTCAAATCAAAACGTTGACCCCTAAGAACAAGTTCAGTTTTAACTGAGATACTGGTGTTGGCACAAAATGGGTAATATTAGTGATCATTAGTTAACTGGCAGAGCATCCTATTCACTTATCTGTTCGTTGATGCACAGATATAAGCACTCATGACATAATAGGTTTTGTATAGATAACTGCTCAGATACAACGGTAACCACCCCTACAGAACAGAATCACTTCTGTTTTATGATATGCTGAAGTCAAAACTATGTGTATTAACTAAGTAATTACCGATTATAAGAGGGATCACAGTCACTACCATTCTAAATCAAACCTACCCATCCACAAGTCCTTGCTGAATAATCAATCGCTGTGCTTCATCTCTAGAAATTTTGTGGTGAAACCACGGCTGCGACCGGTGGATGGCTGAAGAAATACAATGCGGGGGGGGGGGGGGTATACAGAGCTGTGTTTGAATCCTCACAATTTAATTACATACACTTTCCACCACAGCCACTCAGTCCCCTCACCCATGTGCACGTCCACCCAGCCATTCATTCAGTCCCAGTGAACAGGCACAGACATACCCATGTTTGTGGCAGAGCTCTGGGAAGAGGCAGTAGGGCTACCATGAGTGGCCAGGCGTAAGCATCCTTTTTTCTGCACAAGGAAAGGGAAAACAGATTTCAACTTTTCGGGTAAGACAAACTCGAATCATAAATACTTTTGAAGAATGTGAAGTTATTTGTACCCTCCAAGCGAGTCCTTCTTCAACAGCGACTGAAAGGGCTTCCGTGGGATTTTCTATAACTCTGCTTTTCTGGCCTGAGAAGTCCATTGCTACTAGAGAATTCTCTGATATACTTCTCTGGGAAAAAACACATTTTTTTTTAACATTAAATTATCTTTGAAAGTTATCTTTCAGTGCTTTGCTGGCAATATGTTTCCACTCTAGAATGTGACTCCAAAGGTGGCTGGCAAGAAATTAAAAAGTTAAAAGTACATATTTAATATAAAATGGTGCTGTGAAGTATTTTGGTTAAATAAATTACATAGTTATTTGTTAAGATCACTGAATTAAGTGTTGAGTAAAGAGATTAAAAGCTTTCAAAGTTAGCATGACTTTCTCTTAAAAGAACCTTCTCTCTTCCCATTCTCTGGCAAATTCTCTGGTAAAACCCTGTTTCTGGATATTCTCTTGAGAACACCAATGTAGAAAGGAGTAACTCTTCCTGTGGCTAAAAGACCCACCACTTCAGAACTAATCTCTGTTATGATTGGAGATTCGTCATTATCATTTAAATGTCAACCCTATCTGCTGATGAAGAGCTGTTTTATAAGATTCACAGTGGACAAAGGTATCTGAGAAAGAAATGGTACTCATTTTATAATGGAACAAAATACAATACGTATCTTAAAAGTGTATCACATCAAGGTTCATCTTACTTAGAAAATAAAATTTAGTGGAATAATGACTCCAGTAATTCCATATTAAAATTTTTATGATTTAATATATGAACATTTTCCATCTCGTGAGGATGAACACGGAAAAATGAGACCTGCAAAAATCAGTCTGACTAAAGAAGAACTGACGTACAAGCAAGACATCTCCAAACAAACATAATTTAAATGAACAATGAAGTCTTCCTCTGGCCATTGCTTTTTGTTTTCATATTCTCTGAAGGTGAAAATAAACTATCCCAAACCTGGACTTTAGTTTTACTCTTTGTTTGGTGAGGGCTCTACTCTGCAACCAGCTTTTAAACAAGTGTGCCATCCCAAGTCGGTCGTCCTAACACGAGACAATGATCAAGAGTCTCCGTCAGTTTGCTAAGAATTCAAACTCTCCCAAAGGGGAAAAAACATTCAAGAACAGCATGGACAGTGTTTAACACTGACTCCCCCTCGTTAACAGAGGAGCGAGACAAAAAATGGAGTTCTAATAGTAAAGGAAGAGCCGGTGTGCCTCTGGAGACTCGTGGCGTAAGGCCTTTTTCTAACTCCGCACATGCATCCGGCCCTTCCTAGCTTCATCTAAAAGACGGTAGTCAAATGTATGCTTGCAAGAAAACCTGGTCCACACAAAACAATGGGGGGCTCACTTATCACCGCATCATACATCTCACTTCATTAGCATTTGCTATTTCCTCTTCCAACCCTGCTGTAGTGGTCCACAATCTTATTACGGTTCATCTTTATTTCTAGAGATCCGGCATGCAATCTTTCATTTGTTCCAGGAGCCTTTGTAACTGACAGCTGCTCTTTCCAGACAGATGCCGTCTCTGTAATCTCTATCTGCTGTCACACCTTACTTTGCCCTTCTCACCCCGTGATCTTCTGTGCCGGGCTGTAGACCAGTCGGATACACTTCTGCTTTGCTGACATTAATGAAAAGCCTCCACCTGCCCAAACCACAGAGTAACTAATCTCAATCATAATGATAGCTTTATCCTTACAATATCTCTACTTCATGTGCCAAGATGGGCTCTGTAATCACAAGGTCCTGATAACATAAAAATACTGTTAGGAAAGAAAAATAAACATAACCAGTTGTTCCTGTTCTTGTGGTTTTTTTTTCCTACAATACAATAGGATGAAATGTAAAACAAGATCCCATGTTCCATAATTACTTGACATTAGTAGGGAGTCTACAATACAAATAAATATTTTCATTTGCTACAATGACTACACTAGGGAAAACACAGGAATATAGCAAATGTGTTCTACTGAATAGCAGGTGGTGGATGAAAAATTAATAGTTTACCTTTAGTGGACAAAGAAATAGAAGTGAAGCAGATTCTGACTTGAACTCAAAAGGTCATTTTCAGCTCAATTTCTTTCACGTAAGAAAGCAATGTTGATAACATTCAGAATCAGTGTATTTCTCAAATATTTGTCCCTTTTTTCTAGCTCTTTCTTCTGGTGGAATAAACAGGGAAAGCCCTGAAAAAGGGTCCATGATTTTAATGACATACCTCTTTTTGCAAGAAAGAAGAGGCCTGGGTACACCCTGGATTATGCAGGCCACACTTTGAGATCGGATCCAGTCACTCCTAGTCAGCCTGAGACAGAAAATGTTTTTCAGGGAGTTTACGTAGGTGGCAACTAGTCGCCACACTCTCTGTCACCCCATTTGGAAGATGTCGATAAACCTGCAGCAGAGTCCTTAGCAAGAGACCACAGAATTCCCTGATACCATTCTCTCCTCTGCTTCATACAGACTCATAGGGCATCGGAGATGCAACCAATTCCTGAAATTATGCAATTGCCCCCCTTATTTTATACTGCAGGACACGAGTGACTCAAACAAGGTCACAAAGGCAGCTCAATGTAAATGCAGTGACAGATAGGCTCTTTCCAGGGTCATTTATGTACCACAGGGTGGAAGATAGAGGGAAGAAACTCACTTTTCAATGTCTAGCTCAGGGTCAAGAGTAAGGACTAATAAGGACTTGAGTAGACCAGTTTTCCCCATCTCATCTCTCCAATCAGGGCCACACTAACAGATCCTCCTTTAAATGAATCTTTGTGCTGAAAAGGACCAAATATATTTGACTGCCTGAAATATCTGCTGATGATGCTCATTTCAAAGGCTGATAGGGGTGGCTATTACGTGCTATATACAGCTATGATGTTCATTACGGTAGGAGAAATTTTTTTCTTACTTCCCTTCTCAAAACGTATCCCTGGAGAAGTTAAGAATAGTGTTCCTTTAACAATATAATTCAAGTATACTCGGTTTTCTGTGTTGCTCACTGAAGATAGTGCCTGGATGAAAACCAACAGAGGCAGGTGAGGGGCACTGACAGTCATTATAGAGGTCACTGATTCTTCCATGATAACCTAGAAAGCTGGGATTCTGCATAGACATCAAAGTAAACACAAATACCTCCCCAAACATCTCAGTTTCCTTTATGTAAGTTAAGAAGAACGGAGGTATAATTCTCAAGTGCTATTCTCTCTGATCTTGACAACTGCCATACAGGACAGATAGGTCCTCGCTACACAGGCCTCCTACAAAATCCCTGTCTCCAGCAAGATTCACTCAAGAAGTGTCTTTTCCTACACACTGTGTTGAAGAAGCAAAGTTATACTAACCAAGCTGTCGTGTAAATATGGATCAGCAACAGGCCCACTTTCAATGGACAGAGGCAAGAGTAATACCATGCTTATGATGCTAATGACCACGATGAGACTGGAAAATGCTTTGTTTATGATAATTTTTCCCTATGATTAACAGACACTAAGCAACTGCCTCCAAATGCATGGCTGCTATTAATGTGCTCATCCTAAAAACTTTAGATACTAAAAGAAATTTAGAAGGACTTAGAAAAGGAGTAAGATCATAAAATCCATTATTCTTTCTATATATGTGGATTGAAAGATGAAGCTAAGCTGACAAACTATAAAAATACTCACCTAAAGCAACTGCTGTTATAAAAATTCATTACAGTCTTCAGTTTCTTATTTTAGGGCTTAAAAGTGATCTGATACAAAGATGAAAAGTTACTCTTCCATACGAAAAGCAACGTAACCACAGATAGGAGTTTTTTTCCATATTAGTCTATCAGACTTAGTAATCAACATTATTTCATGCCTCATTCCTAGAATTGAGCATTTCATCTGCTACATTACATGTGGAGAAATGTGCCTTCCTTGGTCACAGTTATGAGGAGCAGATTTTTAACCTATGTGGAAATGCAGTATGTTAGCTGATTGGTGACACAGGCACATACACCCGAATTCCTAATATACTCAATATTAAGGAGCAAGAGCAAAAATAGTAGAACGTAAACTTTTAAGTTCAGAAATAAATTTCGTGTGTTAAGGTACAGTAAATTAAAATTCGGTTCTAAAGAAGGGAAAAGATGTGTCTGTGTGTATCTGCAAGTAAATATTCAAGTTGCATTTAGCATAAATCTGAGAAGTAGTGTTAGACTTTATGTAATGCAAGACCTACATTTTGGTTAGCAGTTTTTGGGTTTCCTGAAGAGCAGTTTGCTTTTCAAGGACGTAGACCTTAAAAATTTTGTTGTTAGAAAGCCAGAATGGCAAAAGAGCTCACCTGTGTGCACTTTAGCATTTAAAATTCCAAACTACTGGCAGCTTTAAACTAGGCTGTGACAATTCCAGAATTAATATTAAAATAAATAAATAAACCCACAATGAAAATCAGTAATTAAAGAAACATCTACAGTCTCAAGGAAAATATTCTATAAATCATATCAAAATGTAATCCTCCAATGTTGTAATGACACAGAATGACTCACATAACCCTTTCAATTTTCTTTAACATATAACATTATCTATTTTAATTGAATACTTTGTGATACTGGACTGCTGGGATTCGATCGCATAGGCTGCAATCATGTGAAATCCAAGAATAAATAATTCAATATAACATTATGTTAGATGGTGTCGTTACTTTACTTAACCAAAAGGACTTACGGTGTAAGTGTACTGCAATGTACATCTATAATGCAATATAATTGCAAGTGAGCAGAATGTAAATATAAAACATATAGATTAATAAATATGGTCCTTACCATGGGTGATATACTCTGAGAACTGCAGCCACTTCTACCTTGATATGGATGCATGTAATTCTGGTACAGCTGCATGCCATACTGCAGAACAAATAAATAAAAATGCATTCCCATCACTTTTACTACATGGGCAACTGATGAAAATTCAATACCTTAATTATAAATCATCAATATAAAAAATAAAAATTATAAGCTTTCCTTACAACAAATAGTAAAGCAACCATAACTTTGAAAGGTAAGCTTCTAGTGCCCTACAATGATACATTAAAAAGACAAGTGTTTTTTACTTGAACCCACACTTAAAGTCTAGTTCAGCAGTATAAAAATCTGAAACGGACATTCTTACTCATTATTCTTAACACCCTAGTGCCAAAAGCATTGGAGGAGTATATCACCTAATGATAAGAAAGCTCACTTGGGAAGGATGCCACTTTATGAAACAAGGACTCTGAAAACCTTACAGGCATCGTAAGCAAAACAGGGTAAAATTCACCATAACTCTTCAATGACTGATTGACAAATTATATCATCTCTCTGGCAAATCCATAAACTTGGCTCTGTGTTAAAGATTCTTGACACAGTAGCATCCTCTAGTAACAAAACTCTTATCACATCGTTTCATTTCTGGCTCTAAATTCAGGGAAATCAAAATGGTGGGGAATCAGGCTGATCTCACACAAACGGTCACAAAATATAATGTAAGTGGCAGAACCACGGCATCTTTATTTTCAGGAGGTAGCACTGTAAGACTCGGCTGCCAGGCTACACGATTAGATTAGAAAGTGGGTCTGGGCTGTAAGTAGAATACTAGTTTAAGAAACATTAAGAATGCTAGCTGCCATGACTCCTGGGTGGCTCAGTTGGTTAAGCACACAACTCTTGATTTTAGCTTGGGTCATGATCTCAGGGTTCGTGGGTGCAAGCTCCGCACTGGGCTCTGAGCTGACAGTGTGGAGCCTGCTTGGGATTCTCTGCCTCCCTCTCTCTCTGCCCCTCCCTCGCTTGCACGCTCTCTATCAAAAATAAATAAACTTAAAAAAAAAAAAGAATTCTAACTCCCATGGGGTGCCTGGATGGCTCAGTAAGTCAAGCAGCTGACTCTTGACCTCGGGGTTCTGAGTTCAAGCCCATGTTGGGCTCTGCACTGAGTGTAAAGCCTAGTTAAGAAAAAAAAAAGTATGCCAACTGCTAGAACCAAATTCATCTTGGAGGGTTCACCATCTGAAGCTAGAAGGTACTCCCCTAAGATTTACGCCACTTTCTTTAAAACAAAACAAAACAAAACAAAGCAAAACTACAATGACACAGAGAGGCCTTTTCTTTTCTTTTCTCTGGCTACCCTCGACAATTCTCTCCATTTCACAGATTTGCGATGAACTTGAAAATAGGTCCTATATAAAAGACTGAGGAGACACCATGGAATCCAATCTCACCCTTAGGATGAATTCCATTTAAACATTCCAACAGAACTGTTTCTCTACTAAAGACTATTTCCGTAACAGCAATTCCAGCAAACTGGATATATTTGGTAATTAGGCAGAAATCAGAGGGCGGCTTGGAGAGTCTCTGTTTCCAAGATTTTGCTTTTAACATGAATACAAACCCACATTCATTTAAAATTCTCTATGATTATTTCTTTATCCAATTATTTCCCAACTTACAAAAATTATTTTTTAATTTACAGTTTGATTGACATTAATGGAACCTAATGAAATTTACTTTAAATCAACTCTAAACCTACCATAACTGTAAAAAGAAGACAGAGGAGCCTAATTCCTAGTCAAGTTCATTTTGGAGAATATACAATAACTTCTAAGCAATATTTTCACAAGGTACACACATGCTGCTTGGTAAAAGCTTGGTAAAAGCCAGCTATCTACTAATAAGACTGTTTCCTTCAAAGATGTATTATCCCTGGTACCTGTAGTGTTAGGTAGTTGCTTCTGTGCTATTGGTCTTTAGTAGGCATTTAACTCTGGCCGAGGGATAGGGCATGAGTCACCTTAACATGTCCCTGTCCTACAAAGGGGCAGATAAGGGACCAAAATATGTTAGAAGCTGACAGAGTTCTAGTTGAAGGGAAGGGAAGAATATAACATGTAACTAGGACACTGTACATGAGCAATTCTCAGATTTTCTATGAATCTATATTTAACTGGAACTTATCCAAAGAGAATAGGAGGATCTTCCTCTGACACCACATTAACAGTTTACATGTGTATATGAAAAAAAAGAAAGGAAAATAAAATTAGGAGGCCAAATTCTTGGAGGAGGCAGTATCTAGTAAGTAGCATGTAAGGAAAATCAGGGGCCCTTTCAGTCCGATCAGCACACAGACTCATGTCTCCCTGCGTTTCCAATGAAGTCCAATGATAATCTGGAAATACAACAGACAACCAAAGGAGAAAAATCAAAAGACACCTTTAACACCAAGTGAGTCCAGGTGCACCAGCCAGGGGGATAAAACAGGTACCCACTGACGACAAGCTGCCAGGGGAAACCAACTGACTCCCCTGTTAGAGCATTTCAAATATGTGTTCTGGCAAGCCCTGCCTTCCTGTATCTGGATATGTTAAAACAGATCTGTTTAACAGATCTGTAAAACAGATCATATCACTTTCCCATTTGAAACTGTTAGGTGGTTTATCATTGCCTCCAGGATAAAGGTTCTCAGTGATGCCTGCCTCCCTCTCTGCCTCATCTGAAAAAGCTTTACCACAATTGAACACACACACACACACACACACACACACACACACACACACACACGGGATACATATATAGTAGGCAGAATAATGGCCCCGATAGATGTCCACATTGTAATTCCTGGAGCCTGTGATTAGGTCAGGTTACCTGGCAAGGAAGAATTAATGCTGCAGATAAAATTAAGGGTGCCAATCAGCTGATGCTGAAATTAGGTGAGTATCTTGGATTATCCAGGTGGATCCAATATAATCATAAGGGCCCTTATAAGTGGAAGGGGAGGCACAAAAGAGAACTGAGTCATAGCATGAAAAAGTCTTGGCTCAATATTGCTGGTTTTAATGGTAGAGAAAGGGACCATGAGCCAAGGAATCTTGGAGGCCTCTAAAGTCGGGAAAGAGCACGAGAAATGGATTCTCTCTCAGTCTCTGGAAGAGAATGTAGGCTATCAGATACCTTGTGTTTAGGACAATTAGACCCATTTCAGGCTTCCTGAATGACAGCGGTGTAGGATAATAAATTTGTGTTGTTTTAAGCCACTAAAGTGGTCATTTGTTATAGCACCCATAGAAACTAATACAATGGAGCATCTTTAAAGTGGACATTTGTGCCTTGAAAGATGGTTTAAAAAGAAATCAAATGAGAAGAAAAAGTGAAAAGGAGACAATCTTCCAGAAGCTAAGCATTCTGTATATGGAAGGATCAAAAAAAGCTTTTAATATATTTTATCAATTCTTAGACACACATTTCTTTTCAAATTTTAACATTCATAAATTTGCCTTAACTTAACTATGGCATCTTATATTCACTGTGGACCAAGTGACTTGCCATTGCCTGAAATGTTTGGTGAGATCAAAAAATCATTTGCATCAAACCTTGCAAGGGGGATGCCACTGGCTAGAAAGACAACCCCAGGGACCATGGCAGAGCACCTATCTGAGAAGTTATTCCTCCCTGAAGCTCCTGATGGCACAGAGCTAGAGAGTTTGTATGAAATATGGGTGTCCATGCTCTGAGAAAAAATGATTCAGGAAAACCAGACTTAGAATTTGAAGTTTTATAGATAGCTCACACAATTTATTTCAGGTAGATAGATAGATGGGTGTGTGTACACAAAATTGATAAAGGATGAAAATCTGCATCTATGAGTCTAAATAAATATAAAATAACTAAATGATAATAAAAATCATAAGTGATATGAAAGCATATCATAATTTTACTGGCAGAATTCTACTTATGCAAAAAAAAAAAGGTGTATCCTAGTAAAATCAGTTGCATGTTAGAAAGACTGCTTTAAGGAAGTGGGTAAAAAAAAAAAAAAAAAAAAAAAAAAAAAAGGAAGTGGGCTTACCATCTGCTCCTGACTTGGGTGTTTGACCTTGAGATCAAATTAGAAGGGAGGAAGCCTTGACTAACAAGGTTGGAAAGCATCTCCTCTACCAGCCTACCTTGATTTCCAGAGTTCTAAGGGAAGGAAAGAGAAAACCAGAGACCTCAAGGTACTTTTTCTACTGTGACTGTGATGAGTTAAAGGATTCCAAAGAATGCCAGCCTCTTCATCTATAAAAGGAGAAGACTGGATGAGGTTACTGGTTCTTAATCAGGCATACATCTGGAATTCACTCACTAAATCGGGATCCCCAAGGACGGGGCTGGGCCCATAGGACTTGAGAGTGCTTCTCAGATGATTCCAATGCATATCCCAAGTTAACTAATTACTACTTCTTTGTCTGGTTTGCAACACTCTTTAAAGTTCTTTTCTTTTTTACGTTTTATGACAATGAGAACATAGAAGCAATTACTTACCATGAAGGTTTCAAAGAATCAAGACTCCTAAGCTTTGTTGAAACCAAAATCATGATAGTCATTTAACGGTTGACTATTGAAAAACAAGTCTCTTGTAATAAAGTAACTACGGTAGCTATCTGCCATAACAGCAAAAGGAAGCAAATTTCATAGTTAATCCAAAAGCTTCCTTTAAGCCATTTAAATGATGTTTCTTCCAATACCACTTCACATCCACTAGGATAATTATTTTTTTTAAAGGAAAATAACAAGTGTTAATGAGGATATGAAGAAATTGGAATTTTCATATAGCGCAGGTGGTAAACGTTAGTCACTTTGGAAAACATTTTGGCAATTCTTCAAAAGGTTAAACAGAATTACCATATAACCAGCAATTCCACTTCCCGGTATATACCCTCAAAACTGAAAACAGGTATCCAAACAAATACATAAATACACATGTTCATAAGAGTACTATACACGATAATCAAAAGATGCAAACACCCAAGTATCCATTAATGGATAAATGAATAAACTGTCTTAACATATATCTATACATCTGTAAACACACACACACACACACACACACACACACACACACCACACACTGGAATATTATTCAGCCATAAAAAGGGAATCAATTATGGACATGCTATAAGGTGGATGAACTACAAAACAATATGCTAAATAAAAGAAGTCAGACACAAAAGATCAGATATTATATGATTCCATTTATATGAAATGTCCAAATAGGTAAATCCTATAGAGACAGACACAGTCATGGATGGTTGCCAGGGGCTGGGAGTCACTGCTTTATGGTTATGGAGTTTCCTTTTGAGGTGATAAAAAACTGTTGGAGCTAGACAGAGGTGGTGGTTGCACAACATTCTGAATGAACGAGATGCCATTGTATTGTTCATGTTGTTAATGTGTACACAGTTAGTAATGTGTTCATAATGTTAGCATAGTTAATTAAAATAGTTAATTCAGTTACTTTTATGTTATGTGAATTTCACCTCAATTACATAAAAGAATAAAAAAACATATACAATTTTATTTAAAAAGATAAAAGATAAAATTTAAAAAAGAATAAAAAGGGGCGCCTGGGTGGCGCAGTCGGTTAAGCGTCCAACTTCAGCCAGGTCACGATCTTCGCCTCCGCGACACTGAGTCTCACGTCAGGTCAGCCCGATCCGAGGCTCAGGAGCCTGGGCTGATAAGCGAGCCTGGAGCCTGTTTCCCATTCTGTGTCTCCTCTCTCTGCCCCTCCCCGTTCTCATGCTCTGTCTCTCTCTGTCGCAAAAATAAATAAAAACGTTGAAAAAAAAAATTTAAAAAAAATAAATAAAAAAGAATAAAAAATAAAATAAAAGAGCAAATAAAAAAAGAATAAAAAATAAAACTGTTTTCCAAAACTTGTAAGACAGCTAATAATTCTGATTCTGATTATTTTGCCCTTCTTCAAAAGGAAATGGTTGATAATTTTTATAATTATGAAGTTGTGTTAAATTTACTACCATACAAGTTTTGAAATTAAATATGTTTTCTATACATTCTAGAAGAAATCACTCTATGTCTCTCTTCCCCACATAACCTTTAAACATTCTTACTCCTTTCAAAATGCTCACTAGCAAACTATGCTTATTTAGGTTACAATTTCTATTTAGCACAAAGTGGATGTTTTCATAGTATACCTACAGTAAAATTTGCATAATAATTTGAAGTAAACTATAAAACAATTTATACAACACTTAAATTAAATGTAAAACCATCACACTAAACATACTTCAGTGGGCACATTTTAAAATATATGTCACATTGGATTGTTGGCAATACGTTGAAAATGCATACTGAGTCATGTATAGAAGTTTTAATCGGTTACACTAGCTATCTATGTAATACTCTTTAAAAAATAAAATTCAGAGCATTTGTAAAAATGGAATACTTACTCCACACACAAAAGATAAATGCATTAGGCGATTCCACTCTACTCTGCAAATGTTTATCTTTTAGATAAAAAAAATAAAATACATACATTTGGGTACATGGACTCATAGTGAGTCTTCACATTTTGAAATACAGATGTTTTCACACTTTCATGGCACTCCCAGCATTTAATAGGAATTCACGCCTGCGACGAGATTACCTTAAGCAATCTAATCGCGGTCACCCAGCACGTCCTACTCTGCTCTTCTTCTGCACAGAGCATTTTCAGGTCTCGGGGCCCTCCCGCTTTGTTAGGCTAGAAGGCCACAGCACATTGTTTATCGTTAATGCATATCTTGAAGGTAACACCTGTTGAAATAAAAGCCACTAAAATTCTCCTATATATAAGAGAAAGCTGTCTCTTTTTAAAACAAATTAAAAGAAACTCAAGCTTACCTAAAAGGCTGAGGCTTGCTTTATTCATCTATCAAAATATTAAGCCTGTACCTTAAAGCAGAATCCATAGTTAGTCGGTGCTCCGTGTTTTTTTTTGCCGGCCAGTGACACATAAATATCACTATTGCCAAATTCGCTGAAAAACTGCAAATGCCGTGGTTCCTTTAAAAAAATATATACGTGAGTGTTGAAGTGAACACATATTTTGGCACACTCTCTTTGTGTTTCTATCATGTTGCATAATTTATACCTTGGCAAAAAATATTCCAAGTAATGTCACAGAAACAAAAGGGAAGAAAAATTAAGTTACTATATCCATAAAAGAACCAGAAGCTTGATACAATATTATTTGAGAAGTGGCCACTTGTTTGTAAGTTTAACTTCCAGTATACAGCAAAACATTTACCTTCCTATTTAAAGTTTTCTCTTTAGAGCCAAAGCATAAGAGACTCTTAAAAACTGAGAGCAAGCTGAGGGCTGATGGGGGTGGGAGGGAGAGGAGGGTAGGTGATGGGTACTGAAGAGGGCATCTTTTGGGATGAGCACTGGTGTTGTATGGAAACCAATTTGACAATAAATTTCATATATTAAAAAAATAATAAAGTTTTCTCTTTAACTACCATTTCAGGAATCTCAGGGAAAGAGGCAGCAAAGGATGGCTTTTGGAAATGTTTTCCTTGTCCAGGTTTCAGATAATGGTAGTTGAACAAAGGCAAGAAGCTTGGTTTGAGCTTCCACGCAGTCAGAGAAGGAAGAGAAAGAGACAATGATTCTTGCTTTGTTTAGAAACGATCACCCCTCCTGTTTGCGTACTGCCCAGCACATCACAGTAAACAGTGAAATAGGTGGCCTGACTACTTTTATGAAAAGAAGGAAGCCTGTACAGATGAGTTCAGGGAAATTACCTGGCAGTGGAATGTGTCTGATGTTCAAGGCAAAGTGGAAGGAATCATGAACAGCTATTTCTTCTCTGGGAAATCCATGAGATTTAAAGCTGGTCATGGGAAATCACTGGGTCATATTATTCTGTGACAGGTTAATAACTTGAAGAAGTGCTTAATTCTGGGGTTGAATGTATAATCTAAGCTGACCAAAATGCATTTGTTCTTTAAACTCTTGCTACTAGTAGTGTGGTCCCAGACGAGCAGCATCAGCATCACCCGGGAGCTTATTAAAAATGTAAAATGTGTGGCCCCACCACAGACCTACTGAATCACAATCTGCATTTTAACAAGGCCTCAGGTTATTCACATGCACTGAAATTTGAGAGGCAATGCTCAAAACAAAGCAAAACAGAGAAGACAGAAAACCCAGAACATTCAGCAATTTGAGCAACCCATTCAGATCCAAATCCAAAATACTTCTAGTCATTTACCAGCAGGCTATTGCATCCCTGATGATTGGTAGAGAGAGAGTGTCTGTGTATGCCACTGTTCCTCTGTGTGTCACTGTTAGGCATTTTGATCTAATGAATGACTACAGTTCCCAACTCCATGGGAGAATAAGGCAGAAAAGAAAACTGTTGAAAGAGACCCAGCCTCGCGCCCTTGGAACAAGGGGAGAGGAAGGAGAGAGATACTCTTACTGTCATGGCTTTTAAAACTATTTTTTGATAGAAACAAATGCTTGTAAAAATGTCTGATTTCTACGAAGAAAAGATAAAACCATCCCCCATCCACTGGTGCTGTAGAAGTCAACGTAGCTGAGTCATCTGGATGTAAGAAAAGGGCAGCTTGAGAAACCCTCGAAGGCTACAGAGGCATGATGGGTTTCATTTCTTGACAGATTTTTGCTCCATTACTGCAGACATATCAAGGTTTAAAAATTGAGACCACAAGCCTGGGTTGGCCTGGTTAGCAAAGGCTACACGTGCATGTGTATACAAGGGGAGAGTTGAAGAGGGGCATACTTAGAGGTTTCCCTAAATAAAAGTCACAGGTACATCTCCAAGGCTTGTAGCGGTGCTGAACTAACTCCCACGCAGCCCAGATCTTCAGAAATTACAATAAATCAAGACCTTCTCACAGAAAAAGGATAGGAAATTGTATCTTTGCCAGGTAGAAATGTCGTTAGACATTAGATAACCTGCATAATTTATATTAAGGTCATAATCCTTGAGGTTACCTAATACCTTGAATTTCTTTTTTTGAGGGGCAATTTAAAATCATTTTCATGTATGGAACATGAGCTCATTAGACACAGGCCAGAGAGAAGAATATTATGTACTGATATACAGCAAAGTCAGACACTATGTTGAAAAGAGCTACAATATGGACTGAGAACAGATGTTTGATGCTTGTGATTTTGCCTGGCCAAGGGAAAGACCATCACAAGAAAAAAGGCATGGGTCCAGTAGAAGGAATCAGAGCTGTCTTTTATATAACGGTTGGGCAGGGAAAGGAAGGGAAGGCTAAAGTAAAAATATAATGGGCAGTTGATTTTAATGAGAAACCTGTTGAAGAAGTGAGAATTTAGAAATTAAAGAAACATTATCATATCTTCCAGTGAAGGTTCACTGGAAAAAGTATGATCAACATGATTACTGGATTTAGAAGCCACTTTTCTCTGATGTTAAAAGTAAAAAAATAAATAAATAAAAAAATAGGGGCACCTAGGTGGCTCAGATCATGGTCTCACAGTTCATGGTTTCGAGCCCTGTGTCAGGCTCTGTGCTAACAGTGTAGAGCCTGCTTGGGATTCTCTCTCTCCCTCTGCTCCCACCCCCCATTCATGCTTTCTGCCTCTTTCAAATTAAATGAATGAAGTTAAAAAAAAAAAGATAACCAAGCATGTATTTGTTTAAAAAACATCTTCATATATAACTTCACACTTACAAACAAAGGATAAAAAAGCAACCCCACTAAAATTTAGACCAAAGAAAATCCAAAACCTTAATTACAGAAACAAGTCATTATTTATCCTGACATTATTTATGATAGAAAAATTTGAAAATTAGTTAAAATGTTCAAGAGAAATTAGTTTAATGCATATGTATGACAGGATGCCAGGAGTCGAATGACATACACTTAAAAATAAAACACGTCTGTTAGAGAATGTATTACTAACTATTACTAAGTTAGCTGAGCCCCATTCCATCACTTAAACTTCAACGAAATACACACTCATATGCCTGTACTCTTGCAAACAGCAACAAAGGAAAACCATATCTGAGGGAAAGCTCGCGAAAGTATGAAAGAATCAAGTATTACTCCTTGTGGCTCCGTATCTCCTGTTAGGACTACCACTGGTATATCTGGTCTCCCCATTAACTGTATTCTGGGCATTTCCATTTGAATGCGTCACCCTCAACACAATATATCTAGAGCTCAGATCATGATCTTACTTTTAAGATAATGTGATAGCAAACCTCCTATTCCTGTTTATTAAATCCTTGAGTGTTTCTTTATTTCCTTTTTTAAGAACATTTAAAATGCTCCCTCTCCTTTCACATCAACAAGTTCAACAAGATCTAGCCACTTGCCATTGAATCTTGTATCCATTCCTTTCACCACCCACACCCCCCCCCACCCCCACCCCAGCTCATCATAGGCCTAGGTTAGATCCCATCAGCTCCACTCTGCATTGCTGAGTGACTATCTAATTAGCATCTGTGTGTGTCTCTAGATAATCTCTCTTTCCCTGTGTCCCCCTCCACTCTCTGCTTCCTTTACTCCCTCCCCTTCATTCTTTTTTTCTCTTTCTCTCCCTCTCTCTGATTAAGCTCCCTATGGCCGTAGTAATCTTACAACTTGATTATCTCACTCTCCTGCTCAAAAATTTTCACTGGCTTCCTATAGTGAGTTGAATGATAGTCATCCCCCTCCCCAACAAAAGATATGCCTGTGCCCCCATCCCAAGAAACTGGGAATATAACCTGATTTAGAAAAAGGGTCTTTACAGATGTAATTAAGTTAAGGATCTCAAGATGAGACAATCTCAGATTATCTGGGTGGGCCCTAAATGCAGTGACAAGTGTCCTTATAAGACATGGAGAAAGAAGAGAAGGCCACGTGAGGAGAGAGTGAGGCCTCCACAAGCAAACATGTGCCTGCAGCCACAAGTGGCCAAGACAGAAATTTAAAGAATCACATAATGAGAGTGAGAAATAAATAATAAATGAACATTTCCAGGATAAAAGGAAAATAGAAATTTGCAGACTGAATGCATATGGTGAGAATCAAGTAAGATACATCAGAATACATGCGAATGCACCTAGAAATATGGTCGGGGAAGTTACTGAACACCAATGATTATCACAATATTTGAAAAACAGCCAGAAAAAAAATGACAGATTACCAACAAAGAATCAACAATGTTGTTTGACAACAACAGATGCATGAGAACAGAATTAAAATAGTCGCCCATGAAAACTCTCAAAAGTAGTTTTACATGAAAGATAATCAATGCATCGCATAAAATGTCAGCACTCATAAAACAAGGCATAGTCAACACTGACTAGACTACACAGAAATACAGACAATGCAGCGCTGAGCACTGTGAAATTACATGTATGAGTGATGGTGCGTGTAGGAGCACACAAGTAGGTCTATGTGACTGCGCGGGTATACACACACAAGCACACAAAGGAACACATATATCCACCCTGATGGTAATGTACCTTCCTTTAGGAATCGACAATCTAGCTAAGGAGACAAAACCAACACAGACAAAGGAATTAAAGAGCAATTACAGGCTCAGCTGGGTGTTACTAACTGCATCAACAACAGAAGTTCAGAAGTGGGCAAGGTCAGCAGCATAACCTGCGGTGAAAAGAAAAGATGTGCACTACATTGGACCTCAAAATCTGCAACCGAGGATAAAGAAAAAGGGGGTGAATTTGGAGTAGAGAAGAAATGAGCACAGTATGTGGTACTGAAATAAGAGCATCTAGATTTCCATCACAGGGCCTATGTTGAAACTAGTGTGAAACAAAGCTGAATAGTCAGTTCTTAAATGGATTATGGCAGAGGTACCAGGATGGCTGGGTCCGTGAAGTCTCCGACTCTTGATCTCAGCTCCAGTAATCATCTCACGGTTCATGAGATCAAGACCTGCGTCAGGCTCCACGCTGACAGCACGGAGCCTGCTCGGGATTCCCTCCCAGTCTCTCTCTGCCCCCTCCCCTGCTCATGTTGGGAGTCTCTCAGTAAGTAAGTAAATAAATAAATAAACATTTTTAAAGGATAGATAAGTTGTAGCAAATATTTGGGATCTATAAGTACCAACTCTTGATATAAGCAGTAAAAAAAAGTAAAACCCACTTTAACTTACAATTCATAACATATCATTGACATTTCAATTACCTTTGATGTCCCTTTTGTAGAAAAATATAAACCAGATCTTCTTAGAAGGAAGTAAATCTTTTTCCAGGACTTCTTTCCCTGTTCTTTTGCATGTAAGAAGCCATGGATTTCAGGATATGTGCTTGAACTCAGAAACATCTGGAAGAAAGTTAGACATTCTCATAGTATTTTTGAATCAATGATAGTGTAGCCTTATAGTAATCTTGTTAAGATTTCAAATATAACCATGTAAAATCTAACAGGGTCAATACCACTTATACAAACCATTATAGAAATGGCAATATAAACACAACGGAAAATAAATCAGTCTTTTGACAACCCAAGGCAAGTTCCAAATAAAAATATGTGCACAAAATATACATTCTAAGTGGTCAGTACTTAGCCAAAACACCAAACTGGTAAGTTATTTAAATGTCCATCTTGAAAAGCTAGATTTTGTCTAAGAGTTAAGTCCTGATACGTTTCTATGCTTTTCTATGCTCCTCCCTGAGAACATATCAACTTCATCATAGTCAAAATAAAGACTACAACCTTGACTTCAGTTATTCAGTTGTTAAGAAAGTTGGGCTGAGTTCACCTCCCTGATGAGGTAAAGCAAACAGTCTTTTCTTCGTCCACCAAGGTTCTCGATTGTGGATGGCTACGGCAGGTGTTTTCCAAAGAGAGCTGCAGCACCATCTCGCAGCCCACATGCTCTTCTGCAAAGTGATCTTGCCACTGACACATGAAGAGCTGGAGTCTGTTTCTCTACCTCCTTGAATCTGGGCACAGATTCTGACTGCTTTGACCAATGGAATACAGCAGAAGTGATAGTCAGCTAGTTCCAGTTCTGGTCCTTAACTAGTCCTTCACTAGTTAACTCTTGGAAGCTAGCTGTCACATAAGAAATGTGACTACCCCGAGATGGCTCTGCTGTGTGAGACCCAATACAACTAGGAAAGCCCTTGAGGATGAGAACCCATGTGGACAGAGAAAGAGAGAGAGGAGAGAGAGAGAGAGAGAGAGAGGCAGGCAGGCCAAGAAGTACCAGGGACATACAGTGAACAGCTATCTTAGAAGGGGATCCTCAAACCTCCAGAGAGCCCATGTGCCTCAGAGATGACCCACCCAGCTAAATCCTTTCCATATTCCTGACCCGCAAAATTGTTGGCAAAATGTGAGTGGGCACTTAAGCCATTAAGGTTTGGAACAGTTTGTTACACAGTAATAATGAACTGAGACAGTAGGCATGTGCTGGTTGGGAAAGCGAGAATGAAAAGGAAGAGCTCTGTATGAGTGGCTGTGCTCTGCATCCTTAATAAGACAGTGGAAATGCATTAGCATCTCATTAAAAGAAGAAAACAGAAATCCCTATGAATAAACAAATGCAAAATGGAAAAACTGAAAGAGAAATTACTAGCTAAAATGATGTGACATATTTTAAAAGGCTACTCTGGGAAATGCTGAGAATAGATATGTATGTTTTTAAGTAAATTATTAAATTTTTTAATTTAATGAGCCACAGTTATTAATTAATTGACATGCAAAACAGGCAAGTAGGTTTTTTAGTTTGAGTGCTTTCCAAGTTATTAAACCAAACCAATTAAATTTTAAAAAGGGAGTCACAGAGGTCATACTAGAAAAAGAAGAAACGTTTTAAAAGTGGAAACATTGCCTCTGTGGAGAGAAAAGGTCAGAGGCATATGCAGGACTATCTGATTCCAAAGCTATGATTTTTCTTGTTTTTATAATTTCACATTAAAGTAATATAACTATATTATAGGAGAATTGGGGAAAGGAGGTGGAATAAAAACTCCAGCCCGCCACCCTGTATCCTAAGCCAGTAGTGAAGCACTGAGAGGGCCTGAGAGCGGCGGGGG